GAAAAGTTTGTGAAGTAGTTTTTACACAAGGTAGAGAACATAATAATAGGGTTTTATTTTAAGGCGAATTGACTATTGTGACACCTAATGACTCTAAAGGATGCTTACACAAGAGTTCCTTATTTTTCGCTCACTAAGAACTATAAGTTGAAGGAAACAAAGTCTCTGACGACGTTTTTCTATGCTTCATTGTTCACTTTTATGCAATTTTTCAAATTTCTTTGTTCAATCTTTTATACTTTCTATTCAATTTTTTGACATTTTTCAAATTTAAATTTTTGACTTTGAGAATATTAAAATTCAGGTTTTTGAATTTTCCTCTGTTTTCATGTCGATTTTTTGTCAACTCCCTTGAACAATTCATACAGATTAAAATGTCTCCTTCTTTCATAGAAAGTGTTTGCAAGTTGTTCTTTATTTAAAAACTGGAAACATTTGGACCGCTATAAATATACTGGAGAATTTCTCCTCGTTAGTGTTACTATTCGAATAAATAATTTTCTCCATCGACTAAAATACCGTGATTCCTGTAAACAGAACTAAAATTGAAAATTCGCTGAATCTATTCTGATAAACGTTCACGCGAGCGAGCAGGGCAAACAGAGGAATTTCTCCCCGTTAGAAGATGCGATTTTGCACATATCAACATTACTGTGATTAGTATTTTTTTCATTACAATAGAGATGTCTTCTTCGGATTGTCAATGCTAATGAATCGTTCGTGTTCCGCTTTTTCCATGGCTCTGACAATTTTTTTAAAGTTATTAAATTCTTGGATGTTCACCAAAATCCGAGAACTTTATTAATAACGTTACATTAGCATCGCGCACAACGCAATGAATGACGCCCACGTTTCTCATAAAATTTCCACCGTTTATTCAATGAATTATAAGATATTTCTAATTCTCCAGTTCATACAACATTTGTAAATTGCATTAACGTATCAACGTCGAGTACACGTACGCCGGAAGCGATTATAGAGAGCAATATACATTTATAAATAGTTTCGTGCAATCACTCGTGTATCCACGAGTCTGAAACTCGATTTCGACTGATTCCCTTAACTGACCTACATCCTAAACAGGAACGTAGAAATTCCACCGTGCACGAAGGAATATACATATAAATAAATACAAAAATAGAAGAAAAAAGGAAAAAAAGAAGCAAGATGAATCGTAATGAGCGCAAATTACCGCTTCTAATTTCGTAACACCGAGTTCAGTTTGCTGAAACTATTACAGAAGAGGTCCGTCATAAAACTAATATCAACTAGGTCAGTAATCTAGCTCTATAAAAACCTGCCGCACTGAAAGAAATATTTTGATAGGTAAAGTAGAATTGTAGGGCTAATGTCAAATGCAGAGGTGTTATTAATATTAATTCACTCGTTAAAATTTCAAATTAGCGAAGAAGGGAGGTGGTAATTGGCTGCTTTAAATTCTTCCTTTTAAAAGAGTTTTTCCATCGTGCCAATTGACATTTTAAAAAAACTGCATGTAATTCAAATGTAATTTTCTTTTTCAATTTATGAAATGGTATATTTTTCCAAATTTTTCGAATAATTTTCCGTTCGATGTATTCAAACAATCGAGTACGCGTTCCGCTTAAATAGATAGTAATTGATACATATTTCAAGTATGTAGACAGCTCTGGCATTTGGCATTCTCAGAATTTCGATGTACCGAAATTTGCGTTAAATATGCATGTCCCTCTCCTTCGATATTCAGCTCATGCTGTACGTTGGAGAAATCTAATTCTTTCATTATGTTAAACAATCTATTTATATTAACAAGCTAGGTTAAACGGTTATTTAAAATGCACATCTCAATCATACATAATAACGCTGTACGATGTAAATTGCGAGAAGGAACGAAATAAAAAAAAATCTAAACATTCTTTGGGAATATTTGGACACAAAAAGATGTAGAAAGCAAAGTTTGAAAGTCCTCGAAGAATGAAGGCACCCAAAACAGTGTTTACCACCAAAAGTTAATTAATGTGCTTCTAAACTACGTACTCCTGCTCCTTCTTGCATACTGCAAGAAGAATTCTCCACCACGTATCCCAACATAACCTTGAAACTATGTATTCGATTAACGGAATACAATAAAAAAAGATTCAACTAACGATGAATGCAAATTACACTCTCGTTAATGTTCCTATTTACACATAACAAGTGTGTTTTCTGATTTATTTTGTGTTTAATATTAATCCTGCATCTCGATCTACTGGAATAAATGAAATGCAAAAAAGCGTTTTATAACACGTTCGAGAAATGAATTCGTGACTCGAAGACGGTAGATTCTTCTACGCAACGGCTAGTTCCTTTTTTGCCGCTTATTTATACTCATATGGCCACACACGTAACGGAATGACTGAAGGAGAACACGAAAAAAGAAATAAAATATCTGGAATATGTGGCATTCGTGTCGAGCACCGCTGGTACCATTGCACCACTCACCAAGAATTTTCAGACACACCATGGTGACTCAATTTTCGTCTTCAATGTTGCAGAAGAAGAAATAAAATGAAATATAGAACAGGGAAGATATAAATCTTTTACGAAAGCCATTTCAGGCACCAATATTTTGATAAATTAAGGCAGAGAAAAATTTTAAATTTAGATTTGTAGCAGACGAAAACTGGGTTAATTCTCTCGAATTTTAATGGAATATAAAAAAAATTTGGACGAAAGCAATACGACTTATATCACGATATTTCATTTTTCTTATTTTCCAAAAGTTATTAGGTAAATATATTAGGTAAAATTACTACCTAAATCAATTCGATGTTTACGCATCCAACATTCCGATCATTCAATAACGAGATAGTATGTCACGCTTGATTCGATTTTATTTTTATGTGGACTTTAAGCTCCATGTGATAATACATAGAAGATAAGCGCGCGGTGCAGCAGTAAGATGTTTGGGAACCTTTAAGGTGGTGTCACATATGCTCACTGCATATAATAAACGTCCACGTCTCTCCATCAGTAAAAACCAAGTCCCCATAGGCGAGAAAATGAAAAAATATGGCGAACACTTACCAACAGTTGCAGAGTAGATCGCTTACAACGCGGCAAACGATCCTCCTTTTTCACTTTGAAATCGCACAATGCACTTCACGTGTTTAGTGCTTATCGTGGTAGCTTGACATTTCTTGGCACTTTTAAAACAACTAACACCGTTCACATCGAGCTACATGAAAGCGGAATCCCTCTCGTATAAATCGAATGGTCACTGTCACTCGCGCAAAATAAATTCAAAATCGATGCCAAATCATCGCGTAAGCAACTTCACGGGAAATCTGTATATCAAAGGCTTCTCAGAGCACATTTACGGGATTTCCAGTAACACGTGATCGCAAAGCACCATTAAGCAGGTTTTTGCACCAAATGAAGCAATGATTATCGAAGAAAGTTAACAGAACGAGCAGAAACTACCGATGTTCGAATGTCGAGGTAAAAAATTTCGATTCCCGTACACGTCTCTCGCAGGATGGCACGCAACGCGTAATAATGTTTACATTTACAATCGCTGGCTGTGCCGTTACTGACACGTAGTAGTTCTCGTCGTAGTCCGTTTGAACAGCCATTCGACAGTCAATGTTGTCGCAAAAATCACGCAGAAGAAAGGAAACAAAAATGAAACGATTCACGTTAAGAACTACACAGCACCAATCGCGTGCAAATTCTCTCCTTGGTGCGACGTTACATTTCGCACGTACGACTTTTCTGTACCGCAACGATTCACGCGCGCGACTTATAAGCGTCTTAATTAACCACGATTGTTGGTTCAGAACGAGTCTCGTGGCTCGTGCAGGGACGAAGAAGTGATCTCGATAATGACGCGTTTTTTCAAAGAATTGCGGGCATTGATCGTGACGAGGCTGCTGAACGAACACGAAGCGGGCAACTTTTAAGCACGTGCCACCTTACGCGTTGCAGTACAAAAACGTTCTGAGGCGCAGGTCCCAGTAGCATCGGCTGTCCTACGTGCTTCGGAATGAACGCGCCATATTAACGACCGCTTGAAAGTCGACATCTAGCGTGAACGCCGTGAATTACTGCGAGATATTTCTGTTCTATAGATAAAAGAATTTTCTAGTGCGAAATGACCAAATGACGAAAAGTAAAATTTTTGTATATTCGTAGGAATATTATCTATGGATAGATAAAATCTTTTTAATAAAAATAAATTCCAGTACGACCACATTTAATATATTTCCTATTGTAAATTTTTGCAAGCTCAATTTAAAAAATGAAATGGAATTCTTTTTTTTTTTTAGCCAAAAGTAGATTGAATAAGATAATACTTGGATTCATTTTCATCGAGCAAATCATACCTACCTATTGGTATTATTCTTGTGAGCATATATTGAAAAAAATAAAAGATTTTATCTTCGGTATAAAATGGCTTATTCTTTCACGCCAACTACATGAAGGGCGAAGATTCGCTCCAACGAGGTGGCACAACTGTAATGGGGATAGCTGATATTACAGTAAACCGGGACAAAAAAATATCACACAAGGGATAACTATTTTGAAATGTACACAAGATACACCGGATACGTGTGTATCTGAATATTGAGTAATTGTAATACTTGTTTACGTAATATTACTTGACATTCATATTACGACTATCCTAACGAAAGAATAACACATTTAATGTATTCAAAATATGACGCAAAACATAAAGTTTATATTTTTTACTAAAAACAAAAAAGAAACAAAAAAAAAAAGGAAAAAGAAAACAGATGTTACTATTTGAAATAACTATACTGTTGTTTAGTTTATTGATTATATGGCGATATGTCGCGACAGTGTAAAAAGAAATGGAAAACGTACAATGTTATTTTTCAGATGCTATCAAGCAGAGCGACATTTCTCGGTTATCTTGACACATGTATGTACCATCTTTATTGCGTCGGTGTTTATGTAGCCGGGAATAATCAGACACTCGATTCCGAAACTAGTTAAACGTAAAGTATATGCACACTTACCCTGCGAAGCTGCTGTTTGTACCTGGTGTTGAGCTGCAGTTCTCTGCAACAAAAATAAATGTCTACTTTAAGAACAAAATTTTTACTTTTTTTATTTAAAAAAAAAAATAAAAATAAATAGTACATTGGAACATTTATCACAGTGACGATTATTACAAAATATTAGAAATATTTATTGCTAAATATGCTGAAAAATTCAATTACAGAGTAAGATAAAAAGTTTTATGTACATTTTGAAGAATCAATCGAATTCCGGATGCTTCGAGACTCTTCGAATCTAACGAACGACTTCTTGGTTTCGCTCCAAAGTAATCATCCTTCTTTCCACCCTTTATCCATCGAAAATACGAAGACATATTGCACACTTATTCGATACACTGATACGATATCACATATCACATAACGTTTAATTTATTAGTACAAAATTTCTCACTGGGTTTCTGTGAAATTTTCAAACCAGTCACATAGATTATTTGTTGACTATTTGTCAATTGCAATATTGCAATTATTAATTTTTCATCGTTAAAACATGACAATTGCTATTAAAAAATGGCATATTACTCAAATTCAACGAATGGAAAAGAACAAAAATGAAACAACGGCAAGAATAACTAAAGGTCAACCGAGTAGTATTGTTTTCCAAAGAATCATAATCGTGACACCTTACGTAAAACCGGAAGTGGAGGAACGATCTACTTATGAATCAGTTTTAGAAATGCACGAAGAAAATTAATATTTTCTTAATATCGTTTATGTCTTACTGACGAAGTCAAGTAATTAAAAACATTAACAATTTCAAAAGAACTTCTTGTACACAATATTACGCAGAATACTGTATGCTCAATATGATAACCGAGCACTAAAATGCAATAGTCACACATTTGCATTTTAAATCACTTTCTTAAGTGGCGTGTTCCAGGTTACGAATCGTTTTATGAAAATATTCATGATATTCTGTGCATTAAAATAATAATAATAATAAGGTATATCCGCCTGAATGGTTAATACAGTACATAATAATAGTGATAGTTACTATTATTAACAAAGTATTGATATTATTAAAAATTTCTTACTAGGTTTTGTATTATCATTAATAAAAAAAAAAACCTGATCGTTTGATATTAGAAACTTGTTTAAAAACTCTATCCTAAACACGATAATGAGTCTATCATGAAAAGTAAATAAACAACCTAACGTAACACGACATATGTACCAGATGTAAAGCACAGATGTTGTTACGACATCGAGCATTTCGTTATAATACTATTACCATAATTGAATCTATCGTAACATATCAAAAGCAGATCAATTTCTTAAATCATTTATATATGATTTTTCATTCTGAATGGTATTCATTCCAACTATTTCTAACTCATGCGGAAAGAATAATTTTTGACAACATGAAAGATTGACCATAAGTAATGTAACCTATTTAAATAATTTATTTCAGCTTTCTTTTTTTTTTTTTTTTAAATTACCGATCATTTTCTCGTAAACTAATTTCAATATTTTATTCGATGTTCATTCATAAAGACAGGACAGATAAATTTTTTCGCCAAAAACCGCACGAATCCCTTTATAAGTTGGCCGATTCTTCCCCCAGTGAGCTGGCTAGCCATCACTCCATGTAAATATATACTTTGTTTTAGCTGACACTGAAATGGGAGCTACGTGCGACTCGCGCGCCGCCAGTTTGGTACAGTAATAAGACGAAGACGAAATGACAGAGTGGTTGAGTGGAATAGGTATAGAGGGGGTTATTCCCCTGCAGCTGAGTAGAGCAGGCAAGTAGGGGCAGAAGCCTCATGCGGCTCGCGCGCCGTCAGTTCTTCACCTCTACATAAAAACAACGTTGACCTCTAAGTATTCTAACTTCCTCATAAAAATAGTCAGCACCGGCTTTTTTCCATTGCTAATGCACAATACCGGTACAATGACAATACATTCATATTGATAAACAGGAACTGATAGTGAGAACCAATAAACGTTGCTCACGCCACGTTTTAACGCTTTCGTTGCTATTGGTGCCTATAGGCGGCTTTGAAAATTTGCTCGCACCTTAATTTAAAGATGATACGACCAAAACAAGAGATTTTGCAACCGCAATTCACATTTATCGTTTGTCACGAATCTTACGTATTAAAATCTACCGCAACGAAAGGATAAATAAAGGGAATATTAAATACCAAGAAAATATTCTTGAAAATGCGTCATAATTATACGTTCAAGTCTAAAATCAATGTTCACGATTCATTCTTTATAAAATCACAGAATCCAATATAAAATAAACATTGATATTTTGTATTATTTTATCTTTAACAGGAAATTATGAAACAATCGTTCAATTTGGATCATTCGTTCCAACATTTTTATGCGATATAAATGATACCTGCGTCTCATTCTAATGGAACAATGGTCGCGATTTACACAAGTTATCGCTTTCATAACTCGACCAACGGAAAAAAGATATGCACGGCATAGTTCGCTTCGAAGACATTCAATCTGAATGGTGAAATAGGGAAGCCTGAAAAAATGTACAGAAACGAAACGCGAAATCCAATTTAGAAATGACAAGAGAAATATTTCTGTTTGATCTGGTGTATTTGGAGATAGAGCAAATATTACTCAATGTACCAAAGTAAACAGTGGCCGTGTTTAAGTTACATGCCTGCAACATCTTGCCATAAACGATGCCAAAAATTACGAAACCAATACGGGCACACGTGTACCCAGACTATACGTATAGAAATAATTTGTTTTTAAACGCTACAACTTCGTCTATTGTAAAAATTTTAATGTAAAAATATACAAAAATATTCACGAAGGCTTATACTTTGAAATACAAATAATTTCGAAAAATTGATTTTTTTCACTCCACCTAGGTTAAAGAGAAGCAAATAAAAGGAAACGAGTATGCGTGTAAGTTTTTGGAATGTTATGTGCGAAGCTTAGATCGGCAAAAAAGGCGAAGGAGTAGAGCGAAGCAGAGTAGCACGAAACTGCTAGCTTTCAATTTATAAGAACCCAACAATAGGGAGAGAAGATTCATCAATGAACTCGAGACATCCTCCGTAACCGTAAGTCACCATTCAGCGTCTTTTATGTACAGTTAAGAAAACTGCGACGGTACATTTCTTTTTGTTCAATAGAACGAATCCATACAAATATAACTGCCATGAAAGCCACTTGTCAAACAACACTGGCGCTCATGAAAGCAAAATGTTTTGTAGGGTGAAAATAGTTATAAGTTATGTGCACATTTGAAATTTTTATTCTCCGTCTATGTTGCGTAATTTTGGGGATATGATTTTTCCTTCTCTTTTTAAAAGAAGATTGTGAAATATTTATAATTGAAAACTTTAGGTTCGGAATTCTAAATAAATGTTCTAAATGCACCGGGTATTACGCAAATCACTGTAATCGCACGATAATAGCTAAAAATCAAATTTTCTTTACACGAACAAGTGTATTCTTTGAATTAACACTAAAGAAAGGGGTGTTATTATTTTGGAATTAAAAAAGCCTATATTTTTTTTTTATTTCATTGGATAGTTCCGGTTCATACGGTAACACGTTCAGTAAATAAGTACTGCTTACTAACGGATGTAATATCACTTCAAGGATAAACAAATCGAATATCAAGTTAGTCATGAATAATTAAAATTACATTAGTATAAACCCAGTAATAATATCCAGCAGCAACATTCAACATCGTATTAGTTTGTAACCATAAACAACACCTATGACAATATCTCCGCTAATAATGATCAATTTCCTGTCACTCTACAACCACAAACTAGAAATTACTAGATAATCCTCACCACTAATGTACTCGTACTTTCTCGAGAAAATACTCGAGACGATACAATTTCCAATTCAAACAAACAACAGCAGTTATCATGCAGAAAAAGTAGAAACGGACGGAAATACAGTTAAGAAAGTTACGGTTAGGATTTCACCGTCACAACACACTGCCAGTTTTCCGTGGAACCGGCCGGATAGAATTTCAGCGAGCGAAACGAACGAACGAATCGGTTTCGAACGCGCGCGATACGTAGAGAAAAAGATGCGCGCGTTTTCCTAGCACCTTCGACGTTGCAAGTTCCGCGACTCACTGAGTGAAAAACGCGCCTTTGAATCTGCCTTTTTCTCGGCTCCGTGCTCACACACGACAAACACGCGTTTATGACGCTTCCGTATGCACACTTGCAAAAACGCGTATATACATACGTACGAGTGTCGACTACCGGTGAATTTGAACGTCACACGTTCTTCCACGAATATTTCACCTGCTCAGAGAATTCTATTTGCATATCAAAGTGAATCGCGGTTAATGAAAAATTATAATTACGACGCAGTGACCTGTCGATTTCGATTCTGATGCAGGAGTCAAAATTAAATAGTAAAACAGAGGACTGGGTGTTTAATATTTAGCTTTTGGATGATGAATCCATATAATGTGTTGATGTTTTTCTGATTGTCAATGGTACTTGGAAAATAATTTTCATAAGACGAGATTATCATTTTTAACGAAATGAAGTACATTAATGATATTAATTTCGTTCATTGTAATATTTACGTGAATTAATTTTCTCTTTAATAAATTTAATATGAAGTAAAGATAATTAGTAATAATAACCACACTCACTGAAAAGCTTACGTGAAAAGCATTGTTATTGAAGTAAATTAAATTTGAAATTGAATTAAATTTTGAAATGATTTGTATAGATCAACGGTAATTATTTCATTAATTTGAAACTTTATATGGAAGAATTTTTTATCCAGATAAATAATATTTGAAACCAAACGAATTAATGTTAATAATTTTTTACATTATGGAGTTTACGTTAATGAATATCTTATGGAAGTAAATTAAATCTGAATTAACCTTGGCCGGTAGCAATGTTAGTGCAAAGGAATAAATGAGATTCGGATAACTTCGTTTAATCGTAAGAGACAGAAATAAACTGCGGAGCGAAGTAACGAAGTTTGTTACGGTATTGTGATCGGTAGGAGAAACGAAACTGGTTTCAGCGCTAACGAGTCATGTGACATATGCGTGAGAATGCTGGAACTTGAAAGAAAATTTTGTTGAAAAGTACCCAGAGAAGATTACTTCAGAATCCAACAGAGTCTATTCAAAACATATCGAATTTAAATATGTAACAGAGAAGCACAATCAATGAACGTACAAGTATTTATTTAACCATTAAATAAAAAGGTATTAAAAAAAATACATTGCAAAAATAAATACGTAAAAAAGTTACGTTCATTAGTGAAAATTATTATTAATTTAAATAATAATTATATATATACACGAATTTGAAAAAATTTCAAGGTTCGAAACTAAACTTTTACCAAGGATAAAACAGAGCACACTTATGAAGAAACTTATTATGATAAAATAATCAGTGACTACGTACGAGTTAGACTTTAATATTTGAACAGATGCTATTTGCAACTTCATTATGAGAACCGCCGCTGTTCAAGCGATACAGTTCCTTTTCTTTACTATAAACTAGATTTTTTGAAAGGCTATCAGTGCATGCAAAATAAATAAACAACAACGCGGTCAACTCTATTGTAACATTTAAATTAAAGTTCGGGTATATATAGCAATGGAGAAATGAAAAAAAAAAAATGTACAACATAAATGAACCGAAATACATATATTACACGAGATGCAAAAAATTACAAGGTTTTCTAGCATTATAGCCTGCTGAATTGCGTGGAGAAAAGACGAAGACGCGTAAACGTCGACGTCAAAACATGTGTTCTCTGCTTTCAGAGATCATCCTTTTGTTCACCGAGATACCATTGTTAGAATGAACCGACAGCGGTTGTTCGTTTCTAAAAGTCACGCTCTGTCGAGAGGAGAAACATTGAAATGAGGCAGCCGGTGTAATTTTGAGTCCTCCCCTTGGAACTCGGGCAGATGTGGATGTAGTCAATAAGGATTCGTCCTAATTTTCTGCTTTTTCAATGGTATATGGTAAAATGTAAAAAACCAAGTAACCTAACCTTTTATATTATGTACATGTTTGCATACTTAATAGAGCAAGAAAAGCTGGAAATAAATTACAAATCATAAAACCCAATTAAAGAAGTATTATAACATTTTGAACTACTCATTGAAACATCCATTGCATGTAAATTGTATCCTATATTATTCATTAACAGGGTACAGAATAAGTGAAAATTAGATTTATTCATGCAATTAGTGCAAAGTAAATATTACTTTGCACTAATTGCTTTATCATTTATCTTTGTAATCATGTTTATCATATATGAATTTATCAACTGAATAAGCCATCTAATTTATTGAGTAGAAAAAGGATGATTACCAACTGTTACCCATAATGGTAAAACAGTATTATTCAGAACTCAGTCGGTAACTATGTATGTAACAAACGTCACTGTATTTTCCGTGTACTGCGTATTTTAGTAATGACTAAATTTTGAAATACACCAGTAAAAGAAACATAAATTTTTATAAAAATACAAGATAAAACTACTTACCCCTTTTCGCTTATCCTCCGAACTAAGAGCGCTATGGCTTCTATGCCTAATGAGATCCATGACTTTGCTCACAGGATTTCTACTACTTTCCGAGCCTGCTCGCGGACGTCCCATAGGCACCTTATCTTCTTTGTGGTCCTTGCTATCTCTATGATGATCTTTATCTGTATGTACATCTGTTGACGAACTTCCGTGAGAGCCTCTGTACAAAGAATGCTGTAAAACATTCAACAGCACCCAATTAATATGACTTCCTTCTCGTTGACATTCTCAATAAAACTATAACTATATATTTTTTATTTAAAACCAGTTGATTGTTTCGTATACTATTTAACCGTCATGACACTAATTTCTTACTTTATAAACATAGATATAAACTATTGTACTTCTTTTTGATCTATTAACTGAGGAAGACCAATTAACTTATCATTGTAATAACCAATATAATTTATTTATCAATCTATTTTAGTCACAAAAATGCTCTCAAACAGCCAACTGACTTTGGCCAAAAGAAACAACAGAACTATCCTTGTACCTGTACAGCGCTCTTCATATTCGCTATAATACTGGGCTTTCTTTTGCTAGCATCTGATTTGCTCCTTGGTCTAAACGCATCGAATAACGCCGGTTTTCTGGTGGGACTGGCGGTGTCGTCGATAGTCCCACCGCTTCTTCTTCGTTCTGCGCTATTGCTACGGCTATTGCTGCGGCTAGTGGAGCCAGACCGTGTGCCAGAAGCTTTTCTGCCACCTTTGTTAGAGCTTGACGAACTCGAAGGCTCTTGCTGTTGCGGAAGAGGCGTCGATTTCCCAGAGCCAGGAGCGCTTCCTGAGGTTGGCTTTCTGATAGTTCGCGAGTGCGAGCCCCAAGTTCCTATCATAGTTAAGAAAACAAAATTGAACATGTAACATTGAAAAATGAAACGGCGATAAGGAATTTAACCACGATACTCAATTAAACGATAAAATATGGTCATCTTACCTGCTCGTGGCCTGTGGCCTTGGTCTTGAGAGGCATGACCCGCAGTGTCTGCATCTTCCGTTACTATTGTTGGCAAGGGTTGCGATCCAAGTTCCTGTAAAAATTAACGCATTACAATCATTATTCTCTTGTTATGCATTAACAACTATAGATAGATAAAAATTTACCAGAAAATTATTACAAAATATTTATAAAATAATTATGACAAAACATTTGTACCGGTGATTATAAAATTAGCCTAAGTCATACATTTTCCGTTTCGAGATATTTCGAAATTTTCTCTTTGGGCGGTATTAAAAACTATTTTTCCACAAAATACTTTCACTCAGAAGCCAAAAATGCTTAACCCCACTTTTTGAAATTCCTCCAAATTCAGTATCAAAGCTTGGTGCTTAACTTTTCACGAATAAAACAATTTAATAAATCTAATTCGACGGAGATTAGTCACTTTGGCTTCTAAGTGGCTCATATAACACTTTTCTGCGAAAAGATCGACGCAACACAGAGTATCTGATAAATCTAATTTTTTTTTTTTTCCAGATTCTTGACTTAAACCATTTTCACAATCATCGGCACGTTTAATATTGGAATTTCAATCACGATCACGCTCTCATCCCGACTACTCGATCTCGCTGCTATTTCTATCACGACTACTCGCGACCCCATTACATCGAACTTACGAAGAACCGGCGCTGTTTGCTCGTTGCATCACCTTATATAGACACCAAGTGCCCTTTTATAGGAAAACATTTATCGGTTTATTGGAAAGATCGTTCATTCAATAATGAATGTCGACACTTGGGAAAAATTCCGGGGGAAATAAAGTTGTAACGAAACGGGTTTTATTGTACGACAGATCTAAAGCGACACAATAAGAACGATTAGATACGGTTGTTTAATCACGAGTGCTAGCAGATACAGCGTTTTATATTTAGCTAGATTATCGTTCGTAGCTTTACGTGTAAGGAATATTGCAAGAGGAAATTTTGACTCGTTCACGTGTCCTTCCCTGACAGAACCAGATATCCATCGAGATACCGTCTTTGAACCGGTTCACACGAATGAAACACACGCTTTACACCAACGACAAATGCTTTTTGTCACCGTCTTCGTTCATCTTCGTTTTTATTCCGGTTCAATATTCGACGAGCAAGTATTACGTATCAACGAACGCGTGCGAATTAACGAGATATTGTACGAAAACTCGACGGTACAGGGGTTTTTTTTTGTCAGAGTAGCAGTAGTAGGAAGGAATCTATTAACAGATAAACCAGAGACGAAAATGCATTCGAATCTGGTGCAAGCCAGATGTTCTTCCAATTTCTGACTACTTTACTGCCGTGAAAATATACACGGAAACGAACTCCCAAGGTCTGGTATTGTAGTAAATAATAAATTTTCAATTTCACTAGATTTTGTTGCTGAAAATTTATTTCTAATAAATTAGATAGATAATCTATTATTTAGGAATTATTTAAATTTACATTTAGAAATAGAAATATGAAAACCGAAACAAATGTGCATTTAAAAACGAATCTAGATTTTAAAATGTTACCGGTTCAAATGGTGTATTTTCCCTTCTACATATTTGCATTTATAACAGTTGTTTCTATTTGGAAATACGAAAGTAGGAAAAAATGTGTGTTCAAATGAAAATCTAGATTTAAAAATTTCATCGGTGACATTAAAATTGTGTAAAAACTGGTCGTTAAGCATCGATCTCTCGTTGCCCAAGAAACAATTAAAATTCGTTTAAATTAACCAGAGAAATGCAGATGTGAAATTCACCGGCGGAAGAAATGAACTTTTTTCATACCACATAACGCGGACCAATTTTCACCAGATTGGTCTTTTCAAGTTGAACGCGAAATGCCTGTAATTTCGAACACTCTGCTAGATCATCGAGATAAAACATTGTCTCTCGTTAATTGTACAGTGCTGCACGAATTCTTGGAATCTCTCCAATTATATTGAGGGACCAATTGGAGTATCTCCAATGAACGACAATCAAGGCCCGCTGTAAATGACCTGCTAGCTGTTTTACATTCGCGGCGAACATTGCTAAGAGAAAATAATTCCTTCCTTTTTTACTACCTCTTTAAATCTATTTATAACAATTCTTGGCATAAAATTGGAAGAAATAAAAAAAAAAACGTAAAGAGAAGAAAAGAATTCTCGCCGCACGTGAAAATTACCAAAAGAATCTCCCATTAATGAACTATTCATATAAATTTCTTTTTCAAACTAATTTCAATTTTCCTCCATAACTCAGAAAATTCATAAACTATATTTACTCGACACGATACATATTTCCACGCATCGAGTACAACTTATTTCGTAAACATTTCTGTACCTTCTTATGAGATAAGATAAGAAGACAAACACTTTGCGCATTATCTAATGCAAAAAGGAAATCGCATCGTGCGTGAAGGCGACAAATATGCAAACTCGCGTAATTCTTATCTACGATTTTCTAAATACATACAATGTTACATTATTCTCGTTCCAATTATTTCGATATATTTCCTACCCTTTTTGCACAATCCGGGACTAGATCGTTAAGCACGTTCTCAGCAGCCTCTTGAAGGGTTTTCAAAACGGAAGCTTTAAGGATCATCTGACGGAGCAAGACCGTAAAATACTGTCACGGATATTTCAGCACAGACACATTTTTCGTCGCGTTTCACGATGAATCGTGAAACTACTGCTTCATGGTCGAGCAATATCTATTTTTTTTTTTTTGCATTTATCGGCTCGTACTGAATCGAACGATACCGCGCGGTGATTCGTAGAGACAGAGCGTAGTAGTAGTAGGCACAAAGAACCCATAGAAGTTCAATCGATCGTTACCATTCGGGACGATTGCATTCACGGCCGCGAACATCAATTGTAATCCTATCCTCGAGAGATCTTACTTACAATGCATCGGTGTTAAGAGATTCCCTTCCTGCCCTAATTCCTCGATTCCCGTATTACGGTTGCATTTAAACAATCTCTATCTCCGCCTCTCCCGATAGAACTAAGTCTTAATTTATTTCGTTCTGTATTATATACATGTATCTCCTCTTACACATTCGCGATAGTAAGTAACAATGGTTGATACGTTTCACTGACGGACAAAGTAGAGGCACAACGTGAGAAGTAATTGCTTTCGAAAGCACATTTGTTCACGTTTACCCTTAGTATCTGATTCCTTGGTGAAAAACGATGACAGAAAATTCTATTACATCTGATCGTATCTTACACCACTCGGCGGGTAATTCACGTGACGACAGTTCATGATTCTCTCGAACAGTTCGAAAAGTATCGCGGAAAAACTGAAAACACTTGTCAACTATGTTTATCTCAGGTTTACAAATACGGAGAGAAAATAATTTTCACAGGGGGAAAAAGTCGTCTAAATGTGAAATATAAAATTGTGCGAATAATGCGCGGTGTTGAAATTTTATTGGAACAAAATTGAAAAGGAAGGGGTTATAAAAAAGAAAAAACGTGGGGGATGAAAGAAGAGTGAAATACGTCGCCTGTTATAACGCACCGATGCAAAAGTGATCGTTTCGATATTTTTCTCATGAAGTATCGCGGTAGTTTATCGAAAATTTATACGTTCGATATTGGCCTCTCGGTTCAGTGTGCGTGGAAATCCGAAAAGTACGCGATTCGTTTGGTACGCGACTCGGAGCCGAACTGGCGTTTTGAATCGCGGGCTGCACCGAGTCTGACGTCTGATACAAGACCGACCACGTGAGCTACGTGATACAGTTGGTAACGAGTGTTATGAAACCAAAAATAAATCTAGTTTAAAATTCTCGGGGCAGAAGGAAGAGCAGGAATATGAAACAACTCGGTGAAACGATCGAAACCGATCGTATACGGTGTCTTCAAGAAAACGCGCGCGAACAATTTCTTTTTTAAATTTGAAAAAAAAAGCCGCGTAAACTTTCGAATTTTGAATATAAAAGTTTCTAGAAATCGTTCCGAATTAAATCGCAGAAAATCTGCGCGCTTTAATTGAAATAAGTATTGGAGACCAAAATGGCGGAACGTTGTTTACGAATACCGCGCACTGTTGCCTGTTACAAATTTACAGCTGAAGGAGAACGTATTAAATTCACGGAGAAACAGCGTGAAAGAATAGATATTTTCATTTTAATTTCTTTTTTCGCATCGACACAATCGTTCTTTGCAATTGAAAAAAATTTCGATATACAGAGTCTGCGTTTCTTTTTACGAATGATATCGAAGAATAATTATAAACGAATATCTTTCTCTTCGTTATTTCATCTCGTAATACTCTCTCCCTCTCCTCGTTTTTCTTTCTTTCTTTTTTATCGAAAGGAATATTCTCATTTCTTATCTCTTTGTTACATGGCATCGAGCAAACCTCGCAACATTATCGAACACGGGTTTTCCGCCATTTTGCAGGGAACTTGTCGTTTATCTGTTTGAATTTGCACCGACATCCACCGAGGGATGCGGATAATGGGAGCGAAGATACAATGGAACAGGCTCGCCTCGTTAATTGAAAAACTACCAGGACAGAGGTTGAATACGCGACGAACCAAAATATTTACACGGGAATAAATAGTCGGACGAGGAACACTTGTAACTGGGTTATTGTTGAATCGTTCGATAACCGAGGACCAAGAGATACAGCTTCCAAAGGGATCGGAAACGAGTGCCAACGTGAGTAAATAACAACGACATCGGTTGCTCTTTGGGAAAAACGAAGAATGTCATGGTCGACCAGAAAATTTGTGTCAGAACTGTATCGGATGCTAAGCAAGATGTATCGGACCAAGGAATACCGTTCGAAACTTGTAGGCAAAAATTAATTTTTTTTTTTTCATTTTCATTTTTTGAAGTAACAGTAAAAAAAAAGTTAAAGCTCCGTTTGATATTCGAGTTGTAATTGTTCACGTAAGGATACACCCTTACTTCAATTATAGAACTTCGATACAAGCTCTTCTCGGTCTAATGCAATTTGCCAATAATTAATCAGTACTTGAGCTTGGATAGATAAGATTACCAAATATCCTGATCAACAGAGGTGATCGCAGTTAACACGATTTGTAAACAGCTATATACTTAATA